TGGAGAGAATAGTGAAGTTTTTTTACGTGCTGGTTAGAGAGAATAGTGAAGGTTTTTACGTGTTGGTTGGAGAGAATAGTGAAGTTTTTTTACGTGCTGGTTAGAGAGAATAGTGAAGGTTTTTACGTGTTGGTTAGAGAGAATAGTGAAGTTTTTTACGTGCTGGTTAGAGAGAATAGTGAAGGTTTTTACGTGTTGGTTAGAGAGAATAGTGAAGTTTTTTACGTGCTGGTTAGAGAGAATAGTGAAGGTTTTTACGTGTTGGTTAGAGAGAATAGTGATGGTTTTTACGTGTTGGTTAGAGAGAATAGTAAAGTTTTTACGTGTTGTTTAGAAAGAATAGTAAAGGTTTTACGTGTTGGTTAGAAAGAATAGTAAAGGTTTTACGTGTTGGTTATAAGAGGGATGATTAGATCTCACTTCTCGTCAGACAAGAGTAGCCCAAAAACTAGATGTGGGTGGGTGATGTCGACTAGGTGTCGTCTCTTTAATCTTCAAGTTTCAAATTAGAGACAGTCATGCGCAGATAGCCCTTGTATTGCTTTGCGCGACATTCTTAAAAAAGTAAACAACTTACAGAGAATAATGAATTTCGTTACTGGTTGAATATAGGATAATTTATATTATAATAACTGAATTGTTTGTTTCTTTAACATAGGCAAGGGGAGAGGGGTCCGGTGGGTGCGATCGCAACTCCTAAATTGAAACACATTTGTATAAGACACATTTAGTAGGTGTAAAACAGCTTCAGATACCATCAAAATTCACATTTTGTCGTTGAAAACTACACCACTTTTCCGAGGGGGCACACTCCTCCAATTCCTACAGTAACGCCTCCAAATTCTCCAGTATGGTTTTGCCATTCATTTGCTAAATAGTACTCAAGTATGTATTATTGAGTTTCTACTTCACTTAAGAATTAGTGAAACTTAGATTTACCAAGTTACTCTTCTTTACCGATCACAATTTTAAAATCTCCATGGTGCCTCGCAAGTTATATCAAAACGTTTCAGTCCATGTCGCCATGTCAGATCATAATCTGTCTGGCGACCGTCCATCGTCACAAATAGCCCTGCAGCATGCTTTCAATTTCAAAGGCTCCGTCGTAATGCTGTCATTTCCAAAACATACATTTTGTTTACCATGGCTGTGGTATTATGATTTGTTGCAGGTCTCTTTCTTGGCGGTCCTGAAATCCCAAAGTGATCCATATTTCCTTGTTGTCCAATGCCGTTAAGTAGAAGGGATATCCCCGTCTTACATATTCTAAATCCATATTTTCTCAATAAATTTGTATCTTCTAAATGTAAGAATATTTTACGTCGGAAACACACCCTTCCCCAAAATGATCATTTTTACAGTGACGTCACACAACCTACGTAATGCCAAACGTTGTCAAAATATTATTCAGATACTTGGCGTTCCACCACGACGTGAACTGCTGATTTGTATCTTCATAATTGTTTAAATATAACATTATAAACTCTCGGTTAAATATTTAGCACACAGGATCACCTACAAAAGTTATAATATTTTCAAAACGAGACCCAAACTCGATCGCTTTCGAACAGTTGACTTCAGGAGAATAAGAATAGCGAACTATTCGAAAACGCTCGTGTTTTGGGTCTCGTTTTGAAAATATTATAAACTCTCTGTAGTTTTGATACATTCCATTCCACCTAATCTTTGTATATTGTACTTAAACATTATTCGCATATTTCCTTTCTTCTATATAACTGCTACCTAGGCCTCTTTTTGCAGGGAACACCTGGAATGATGAACAATAAGTATATTACAATTAAACAAACTAACCCGAGCATTTTAAGAAGGTTAAGCCTGGTTATCTATTATCATTCAAACCCTGAAGAAGATAGTGTTTGTGTTTTAAGAATTATAAGGGTGACTTAACCACTTTTTTTAATAATTAATTATCGTGTATTAATATAAATATTTTAAATTCTTATGGGATCACTAGGTGGCTTAGCAGTGGCTGTTCCAGGAGAACTGAAAGCTTATTGGCTGGCACATCAGAAGTACGGAAGGCTCAATTGGTCAGATCTTGTAGAGCCATCTGTGAAAATTAGTCGTGATGGTTTCACAGTTGGAAAACATTTAGGAGACAGCCTCAGGAGTTTAAAATTCACAATCATAACACAACCTACATTAAGGTATGGTGGAATCTTGTCCAATTAAAATGTCGGTCTGTCTTAACTGTGATATTTGTGATTCAGTAAAAAATTTTATTTTATTAGATTTATTAGATACTAATAACATTTCAAACAGTCTGTAGAATTTCAAGGTTAAACACGCGCATCACCACCACCACTAGTGAATAAAACACATGTGTAACCACATCACCATCACCACCGCCAATAGCGGATAAAACATATGTGTAACCACACATACATCACTACCACCACTAGGGAATAAACATATATGTAGCCACACAAACATCACCACCACCACTAGTGAATAAAACATATATGTAGCCACACAAACATCACTACTACCACCACTAGGGAATAAAACATATATGTAGCCACACAAACATCACTACCACCACTAGTGAATAAAACATATATGTAGCCACACAAACATCACTACCACCATTAGGGAATAAAACATATATGTAGACACACAAACATCACCATAACCACCAGTGAATAAAACATATATGTAGCCACACAAACATCACTACCACCACTAGGGAATAAAACATATATGTAGCCACACAAACATCACCACTACCACTAGGGAATAAAACATATATGTAGCCACACAAACATCACCACTAGGGAATAAAACATATATGTAGCCACACAAACATCACCACCAGGGTATGAAACATATATGTAGCCACACAAACATCACTACCACCACTAGGGAATAAAACATATATATAGCCACACAAACATCACCACCAGGGAATAAAACATATATGTAGCCACACAAACATCACTACCACCACTAGGGAATAAAACATATGTGTAGTTTCTGTGTAACTAAATTTTCTATATATGATGCATAGCAATGGACAAATATATGTCGAGACTAAGACACAATCCTCACTAAGCCCGTACAAAATCTTACCAGTAGCAAATATGCCTTTTCAAGTATACATCTAAAACATCGCTTTAAATTAACCTTCACATGTATTGATTTTTTTCACTCCTTCACTCGATACATAATATAGGGGTTAGCTCCCTAAAGACAACAATTGTATAGTGTACAAAGCAGTGAGTGCTTACATGTTGCAGTTATCTAATGTTCGTCTATTATTGGCGGGTAATTCCAGTTTCACTGTACTCAACTTTTTAAAAGAACACCAGATATTTGTAAGAAAGTTAACTTCGAGGGGTAATGATAACGTCGTTTACACTAGAATTATGAAGAAACAAATCGACTTTTCAATACCCCTACGACCTTTGCAGTACCTTATTTAGTATTCTACAAAAGGTTTGAGTACAATATATCAAGCTGTAGGCTTGCAAGTGAATAATAATAATTAAAAATGGGTCGTTTTGAGCGGATTTTCTTTTCCTTCTAAGACTAACGTGCATGTTTTTGTGGGCATTTTTGTATGTGTACAGCCTTAGCAGACAATAGTAACGTTTTTAGAGTGTTGTTTGAATTGAATCTTTTTTGTGTTTTTTGCCCGAACGTTCTGTTAGGGTTTTGTGCACTGCCTTGCGATCCCTATTATGAACCACTATAAGGGAAGGTGGAAAAATATAATATTATTTTAAGTTTGTGCTTTCAACTTCAGATTATTTTAAAGCTTAACTGACATTAACCCTTTTTTCTCATATCCTTTTGCTATATAGTTCATTTTTCATGAATCTTGTTTCTCAGAGAAATATTTTATAATAATGCAACCGGAGATGTGTACAAAGAAGGAGATATCATCAAGAGACCCCTGTTGGCAGAAACTCTGCAAAGGATATCTCAGAACGGTGCTGACGAATTATATAAAGGAAAAACTGGACAGGAACTTGTGAAAGACATCCAAGAACTCGGTAAGTGAAATATGACAACAAGGAAACATATTATAAGGGTTAAAACTCTAAAAGAAAATGAGTGTTTTTTATTGCATTTCGTTCGAAGCTACTCGAGGGCTATCTGTCCCTAATTTGCAAGTGATAGGCTAGAATTTAAGGCAGTTAGTCAACACCGTCCACAGCAAGTTCTTGGGCCACTCTTTACCAACGACAAGTGGGATTGATTATAACGTTATAACACTCTCACAACCGAAATGGCGAGTATTTTCGATGAAGGGATTCGAACTCGAGACCCACAGATTGCTCTAGACGACTTATAGATACAGTAGGTTTTGAGTTTTGCTTTAAGCCTAGTTACCGGATTATAGGTGGTCAAGGTTATACCTTCTCAAGATCACCCGTGTTGTGGTGGGTTCAAGCTTTGTTATATACAGGACAGCATAACTGGTTATGGGTGGTCACGGTTATACCTCCTCAAGATCACCCGTGTTGTGATGGGTTTCCAGTTTTGTTATATACAGGTCTGTAAAACTAGTTATGGGTGGTCAAGGTTATACCTTCTCAAGATCACCCGTGTTGTGGTGGGTTTCAAGCTATGTTATATATAGGTCAGCATAACTGATTACGGACGGTACAGGTTATACCGTTTTTGGATCATATTTAGCTGTAATAGCATAGGCGTCCGCAAGGGGGACATTGCCCCCCCGAAAATAAGAAACATAATTATTTATTTATTCATTCAGCATATGTATATGAACTTACAAGTTTTATATTCACTTCACGATTCCACACTACTTATTACACTTAATTTTTAATTCTAATAAAAGTCACCAGGTTTGTCAGCAGCTTTATTTAAAATTTTTAGATACGTACCCTGTAACTAAATATTGAAAAATGTCGCTACCATGGCGGCTTCTTGGATATTGGACATGGTAATTCTCAATCAGTTCATCAAAGAGACCGACGCGGTCTTGCTGACATCCCCTGATCTCTGGCACAGTGTGATCGGGGATCAACTTGTTGCCACCTGCCGGTAATACTGGCAGCAGGTTATCAAAGGGACTGATGCAGTCTTGCAGACATCCCACGAGACAGTGTAGTCAGGGTTGACCAGAATTTACCATGATGGAGTATATATAGCTGCAAGTCTGTAGTACGACTTAAACTAACCATCAAATATGACTGTGGAAGCTGGCCTATTCTTTTTACTGCAATGGCAAAAACTTTGAAGACGGGTCGAACGTCCCTCGATTTTGACTTTGCTCCCCTCATGGAAAAATTTGTGCGGATTCCCAGGTGGTTAGGGCGCTTGATTCGCAATCTGATGGTCGCGGGTTCGAATTTCCATCATACTAAATATGCTCGCATTTCAGCCGTGGGGGCATTATAATGTGATGGTCAATCCCACTATTCGGTTAGAGTAGCCCAAGAGTTGGCAGTGGGTGATATAGCTTTGCGAGGAATCGAACAAAAAAAAACACTTCATTTTTCATGCTTGTTCTTTCAGCCGTGGGGGCGTTATAATGTGATGGTCAATCTCACTAGCTGCCATCCCTCTAGTCTTACTCTGCTAAATTAGGGACGCCTAGTGCAGATAGCCCTCGTGTAGCTTTGCGCGAAATTCAAAACAAACAAACAAAGCGGACGCCTATGCGTTTCTAAATCTCTATAGATTTCAGATTCCGTTACTGTGTTGTAGATCAAGCTTAGCTACGCTCTGTTTAGCAAGAAAATATAAAGAAGTAATCTTTGGTTTATATAGTTCCACTCCTGTAATTTCTAACACGGTAAAAGAATCACCGGCGTTATCATATGCGTTGTCATGCCAACAAGTACTACTGAGTAATTTATGGAATATTTATAACTAATTGTTGTAGTATAAAGTAACTTGCTAGTAATAGCATTAAAGTGAAACTCTTAGTTTAGGAGGAGTCATCACCATGGAAGATTTGAAGAACTACAGAGGGCATGTCAAAGATGCAGTTTCAGTTCCCCTGAGAGACGGAAAGACATTGTACACAGTTCCACCACCAGGATGTGGAGCACTTGTTGGGCTTATTCTAAACGTTTTAGCTGGTTACAACATTACTCAGGAAGATGTAGCAGATGTGACGAGTGGTGTTCTTACATATCATAGGATGGTGGAAGCTTTTAAGTATGCATATGCCCAAAGAACGTATATGGGGGATGAAAAATTTGTCAATGTCACAAAGGTAGAACCACATAACTTACTGGTTGATTTAATTACAGGTACAAAGTTCTATGGTTCGTGTTCTGTTACTGTTGAAAAGTAGTATTTTGAGCTTTGGTAAGAGTTTCCCGAGGCCCTGTGGTCAGCGTGCTGGACCGAGGGTTCAGTGTTTGAGCCTCGTTACTGTCCACACACCCCAAAATCGTGCTTAGCACTTTAGGGCGGTGGGTGCATTATAAGAGTGACGGTCAAATCCTATTATTTAGTCAGAGTGAGCCAAGATTTGATTGTGGGGGTTTTTGAGTTGCCTCCCCTCTATTCCATCAGCTCCAAATTAGAAATGGTCAGTGCAAATAATCCTTGTGTAGCTTAGCATGAATATCCAAAACAACCAAATAAACAAATACTTTTCTTATATCGCTCTTTCTTTAAAGAAGATATTATTATCATTAAGGAAGATAGTATATTTTTACAACAGAATCTAAATTTTGGAAACTTTAAAAAAATGAGTAACTTCCATTTTCAAGATTTTCTGGTGCCACGGGATCCTATATTACAGAGAAACATAGATGTTAGGATGACGTATAACACTAGTATCCTTTCTTATAATTCTAAGATTGCAGTGACAAGAAGAGACAATCATTCCTATTTCATTTATGTTATATAATTTTTTCCTGTGTCTTAAGTCAGAATATTTTTTCATTACTAAAGAATCAAACTTTTTAATGACCATTATTTATTGAATATCTTCCAGTGTGCGTTCTATGTCCTTGAAGATGGTACTGTTAAACATCCGAACTACAATGGTTTAACTACTGATAGTGTTTGTTTAGTCAAACCTTAGGGTTTGAAAGCAACGCGATTACTATAATACCTTCATTAACCTGGCATCAAAGTTGGCTAATTGAAGTGTTGGGTTTCATTTCAGGTTCTTTCAGAAATTACTTCAGTAGATTATGCAGAAGAGATACGACAGGGGATTTCTGACAAACAAACGTTTGCTCCAGAAAACTACGGAGGGATTTATGAAGGTGTAGAAGACCATGGAACTGCTCAGGTAACTGTGGTGGATGCTGAGGGAAACGCTGTTTCTGCCACCAGCACCATTAATAGGCTGTAAGTAAAGTTCTGTAGAATGTTTTGTCTTAACCTAAACTACACAGATGTATGTGTTAAAACAAGGGTTAAAAATCTGTAGAATGTTTTGTCTTAACCTAAACTACACAGATGTATGTGTTAAAACAAGGGTTAATAATCTGTAGAATGTTTTGTCTTAACCTAAACTACACAGATGTATGTGTTAAAACAAGGGTTAATAATCTGTAAAATGTTTTGTCTTAACCTAAACTACACAGATGTATGTGTTAAAACAAGGGTTAAAAACCTGTAGAATGTTTTGTCTTAACCTAAACTACACAGATGTATGTGTTAAAACAAGGGTTAATAATC